CAATGGATGTATGTATGGACTGTGATAAGAATTGTACAAGCCCTCAATAAAATAATTAAAAAAAAAAGAATAATGAGGGTAACAAATGTACATATGTGCTTTATACAATTGATGTATGTATGGATTGTGATGAGTTGTATGAGCCCCCAATAAAATGACTTTTAAAAAAGAGTGATTTCAAAAAGGTATGTTTTGAAAGAGTTGCTCTAGTGGCAGCGTTGCTAGATATATGAGTTCATTAACTTCAAATTAAGAGGATTAATTGTACTGATTAGATACATTATTCCAGATAGGCATGTTGGCGCCTTATGGTGTCCTTGTTTTGTGCTGTGGAGTTAGAGGAGGCAGTAGGAATTGTGTCAATGACATCCATTAATTTCTGGCAAGAGAATTTTAAAATTTGTTTTGAAATAAATATGATGATATTGACGATTCTAACTCAATGGAAAAATCATCAACTTAATGTGTTATTGGGCTTTTAAACTTTTCATGAGGTTTTTTAAAAAAATAATTGCGTTATGACTGCTTTTTATCAAAAATAAGTCAAAGAGCAGTAAGAGATGACCAGTGATTGCCTCATGGACAGCGAGAAGCGAGTAACTGAGGAAGCATTGGGTTTAGTTCTTCAGCTGGGAGTGTGCACTTGTTAGCAGCAATGGAGCTGGCTCCCACTCATGGCCAAGTGGCACGGAGAGCAATGAAATCTTCCTCCACGCTCTACCATCATGAAATGTATTTCATACAATGGACTCAACTTTAAATATTGAGTTGATTGTCACCCTTCCAAGGGGTTATAAGATATTTAGTATTTATTTTCATCATTGTAGATAACTTGAATTTGTTTTTCCCAACCAGTTGCCATTGGGTAGATTCTGAACATGCCCCACTCCTTCACCCCAGCCATGTATGTTAAAATAAAACTGTGCTCCACAGGATTTACAATGGCTGACTTCTTTGGAAATAAAATAACCAGGCTTTCTTTCAAGGTACCATTTGGTAGGTTTGAACCGCCTACCTTTTGGTAATGAACCAATGTGTCAACAATTTGCACCACAGCAACAATTCTAAGTTGGCTCAAATAGATTATTTAAACTTTCCCTTCTCTGTAAAAAATCATCCCAAAGCAAACAAAGAAATAGAGGATTCTAATATTGGTAAAAAGGCATTCTGTTGGTGGTAAAAAGGCATTCTGGTGCTGAAGTGGGTAGTGTTAGACAGCTAACGAAGAGGTCAGTGGTTCTAACCCACCAGACACTCTAAGGGGAAAAGACGAAGTAGTGTGCTTCTAAACAGATTTTCAGTCTAGGAAACCCTGTGGTGCAGTTCTACTGTGCAGTAAGGTCACTGTGAATCAGAATCAGTTTGGTGGCAGTGGCATTTAGTTTGGTGGCTTGGGAGTATGAGTCCTATGGTTTTAAATGTTTTTGAAGTATTTCTCTAGGGTAAATATCAAGCCACTGGAAAAAAGCTACTTCTTGACTTTATCATCTCCTTTTTTCTTTTTTCTTTTTTAACCTAGAAAGTAAGTAGCCAGCACAGTCACCTGTTCTATTATTCATGTGCAAATGGATTTTTACTGGTGAAATGAATTAGAGCCTCATACATAATAAAATATTGGCGTGACTAGGAACTGTGGACATTTTGTGCTTTAATCTCTCAACAAAACTGCTAAAAATAAATATTTTGTTCTCTGGGACATCATTAGGATAACTGTAGAGTCTTCCTAGGTCACTATCTAATTATCTTTTGAGCACTTCAGTTATGTTTATTAAAATTTTGAAATCTCTTTACTCACATACAAAAAGAACTGGTTTTATTTACTGTTGATTTATTTTTTTTCCCTCCTGTGGGTGGAATCACTGAAGCCTAGAGGAATGAATTAGTGCTACTGAACTGTTTAAATTATTTTTGTTAATACTACACTTTTGAGTATCTTTTTCCACATAAAAAAATCTTCTGGATTGTAAATGTTTTCCTTACATTATTTAACAATGTACACTTTAAAACAAAACACAAATAAAATTAATTCAACCCTTAAAAAAAATAAATCAAACATAATAACCTAAATTTATGTGACCATGCAATTTGAATGTTTTAATGACCCATGATTGCATTTGGAGACTCTCCTAGTCATCAATGAGCTAATAAAACAACAGCAGCAACAACAAACTTACCACCAGTTCCCCCTTTCCACCCCACATTCCCTCCACTCTCCAGGCATTGCCACTCTCACCACTGGTCCTGAAGGGGTCATCTGTCCTGGATTCCCTGTGTTACCAGTTGTTATCTGTACCGATGTACATCCTCTGGTCTAGCCAGATTTGTAAGGTAGAATTGGGATCATGATAGTGGGGGGAGGGAGGAAGCATTTAAGAACTAAAATTATATGTTTCATCATTGCTGCACTGAACCCTGACTGGCTCATCTCCTTCCCACAACCCTTCAGTAAGGGGGTGTCCAGTTGCCTACCTGTGGGCTTTGAGTCTCCACTCTGCACTCACCCTCATTTACATTGATATGATATTTTGTTCTTTGATGCTCGATACCTGATACCTTCGACAGCTTGTGGTTACATGTGCTGGTTTACTTTTTCAATGTGGGCTTTCAATGTTGCTTCTGAGCTAGATGGCCACTTGTTTATCTTCAAGCCTTTAAGACCCCAGGTGCTATATCTTTTGATAGCTGGGCACCATCAGCTTTCTTCACCACATTTGCTTATGCACACATTTGTCTTCAGTGATCATGTCGGGAAGCTGTGACTGCAGATCTTTATAAGAGCAGACAGTCTCATTTTTCACCACTAGAGCTGCTGGTGGGTAAGCAACACTAAACTTGCAGTTCGTAGCCCCAGGATTATCTCACCTTGCCTCCAGAGCTTCATAAAAACCTTTAGTAGGTGAAGATTTGAAGATAGCGGTGAAAGTAAACATTTAGAGTAAGAAGGATGGCTGTTTGTTGATCTCTTCTGGTGCACATTTGAATACCCCTCTGACAAAAGTCACTGTCTGAAGGAGCTGCGTCCTTCCTAGTGAATGTCATTCGGATGCCTTACTGATTGGCCTATATCTATACTGTCTAGCTAAGTTTTCTTCTCCCCTTTTCTCCCCTTTTTCCTTCAGTAAGTGCTATAAACGAATTCCCAGATGAAAATACTTATGAAGTGGTTTATCCCAGAAGACTTCATCCACTACATAAAAGAGAGGCAGAAAATATTAAGGAGTCAGACAAACAGGTACAACGTCAATGTATCAGAGAATCTTGATTTGAAATATATATCTTTATAATGTATCAAATTGACCGTGAACTTTTCAATGATAAAAGTTTAGAGTTAAATAATAATAAATATGTTGTGATTGTTTTTAATCTATCTCTTATTAATTAATAAAGGATCCTAGAGATAAAATAAATGGTCAATATCCATCCAATAAACATTAGTTATAATAAGAAATATGAAATGAAATGATTTATTCCAGAATCATTTTCTAATCACCTGCTCTCTAAAGTCTCATGCTGAGAATCAGGAAAATACACTTAGATAAGAAAAACAATGAAAAATATCCTAACTTACCTTATTTGGAGTATGTGTACCCCAATAGGACACATCACAGGTTATTTTTATGAAGCAGACAACTTTATGACAGCAAAGTGTGTAGTAAATCTTATTTCCCAAAATAATTCTTCCCCCACACACGCAAAAATAAAAACTGCTGAATTCAAATGGCAACTCTAAACATTGAATTCTCTTTCAAAAAACTGTCTTTAAATGGTTTCTGTCAGTCTCTCAAAAATGCCAGATACCCTTTTCTCCTTTAACAATTTGAAGAAAATTCAAATCCAGGTGAAATGTGAAATAAGTCAGTTGTGAAAAAAAATTATAGTTGTAAAGATATTTATTTGCCCCCAACTATAAAAATAAATGTCAGTTTTTGAACAATTAATTTGGTTGAAGGACTACAGTAGACTATTTGGTGAGACATACTACCTACTACTTTTAACCCTGCTCCCATTGAGTCAATTGGACTGAGAGTGAGCCCACCCTGGATTTCTGAGACCATTAATCTCTATAGAATCAGACAGTCACCTTGTTCTTCCGTGGTGAGTAAGACCCACTGTGTAGTTAGCACCCTAATGCTCCACCCATAGCCCCACCAGGGCTTCATCCTAGGTATGCAATACTGATTTCTGGAATGATTGAATAGATGTATATGATTGGCATGATGTGGCTGTGTTTTAGGCTACCAAAGAGACCCCATCTCAAATATAATTTAAAGCGAACATTTATTCCGCTTTAAAAGAGAAAAAGACAACATAAACACAGAGACACGTCGTCCGAGGAGGGAGGACACCAACGTGAGGTTTAAATGATGCCCAAGGCTTCGTTGAGATGCTGAGCTTTAAAAGGGCACGAGTGGGCTAAGGAAACTGTCACAGGAGCATGACTGGTGGCAGACCAATACGCTACAGTCACAGGTGGGACTACAGAAGCAGGGACCGTGACAGGGACATGTGTATTGTTAGATAGAAAGGCTTAGGAGACCGGTTCAGGGATTTCTGACCAAGGCAGTCAGGGTGAAACTGACAGGCTATGACTCATGACTATGAGACTCCCAGTACCTTCCCTAATATGGTGACCCCCATCAAGGTCACTCCTAGGCAAACCCCTAAGCAGAAAGACTGCCCCCCCCCCAGCTGGGCAGAGAGGGGTGGAGGCAATCCATTCTCCAAGGCATTCTTCCTGAGGGTAAGGTTATCCACATCCTTGGTTAATGATCAGAAAGCTTTCCATGACTGCTCAATCTATTGGGGATTCTGCAAATGACTATGATGTTGTTTCCACCAGCCATGCATTTATGCAAATGAAGGAGCTCCGTATTTAAGTTCTAATACAGTTAACAGGGTCGATATTCATTGTAAGTACTAGTTTTAATGGACGTCTGGGCATTCATTTTCCCCTAGCTGTAGTGAAAGCCTACGGAATCTGAATTGGAAGACTTGTGTGTATTCATGTCTTAACTTAGTCAATTCTCCCTGTGTAAATGTGGGTAAACGAGAACTTTAAGTTCTTTGTCTTAAAGTTGACGTAATGCATGTAATAGTAATGACTGCATGACAATTTTGAGGTAAAGTATATTAAGAGTGAAGATATATGCAGATGCTAACTCCCTGTTCATATTATGTATGACGCTGCCTTAAATAGCCCACCGTACTGTTCCTGGCAGGCGGCTCAGACTTGCAAGCTTCCCCATTCCTCGGTTCTTGTCCCACTCACAAGGACGTTTTCATGGAAGTGACAAAATTCAGACCAGAGTCAGAGAAAGGGTTTGAACAGAATGAGTAAGTTTCTTAAAGGGAGATACTTTGTATGCTAGTCTGGATAGAATAGAGAAACAAATCCAGGGAGACTCATATGAGAATAAGAAAGAGATTTATATACATGGGCAATTGAATATTGAGAAAACATCCTAGCCCCGTTCAGATCAAAACCATAAGTCCAATACTAGCCCATATGTCCAATACCAATCCATAAAGTCCTCTTCAGACTCATGAAACACAGGCAATGATGCCAAATGCAGGGCAATCACAGGCCAGTGGGTGCAAAGTCCTGTGGATCCAGTGGTGTTGTAAGCATCTCAGTGCTGACAGGGTCAGGGTAGGTCCCTGTGGCTTCTCCAGCTCCCAAGGCATAGGGCCATGTGTCCTGTCAGTCGAGCATCTCTCAGGGTGTGAGCAGAGAGAGAGAAGTGTCGCCTGCCTCCAAGGAGGAAGTATAGGAGTTCTCAGAACTGGGTATCCTGTATTTTATAAGGCAACCCTATCTACATGAGCTTAATTAGGTATCTGTAAACGCTAGAATCAAACCTTGATCATTTCTGCATGATTCTAGCTCTTTTACCACCTAAAAATATAAGGTTCTCAAGCTACTCCCTGGTTGATAACACAGTCCTGTTATAGTCGATAAGTTCTCCCATCTCATTCTTGTCTTAGAGCACAGACTTTAGAAGCTTTAGCGACATTCTCATCTGCCTTGCAGCAGGGGCGTTCCTTTGACTCATGCAGAAGTTTCCCTTTACGCTAGGCACTGCCTATGACCAGTACAAACACCATCCCACTGGTGCAAGCAAACTCTTGGCTGTTATCTTTGGGTTTCTGCATTGAGGCGATTGTTCTGCCTGGTACAGAGACTTGATTAGCAATTGCTTGAACAAATTCAGAATTCATACCATAACCGACCACCTGCAAATGGATAAAGAGAACCTCTTTGTCCATAGATACTACCTGGGTCTCACTTAGATTCATGTTTTCTTAAAGCAGTTACTAAACAACTGTGCCTTCTAGTGATTATTATACAACTGTGCCCTCTGGTGGACCAGTGAAATGAGTCATTGGTATATCTATCATCTGGACCAAGAATGACTTGGTACATATTTTCTGACTGCACCACGCATGGGCACGTTGATTAAGCAGAATGAAATACTTCTTTCCAACCATGTTTTGGAGCAGGTTAAATACTAGGGTTGAACCTCGAATGTTTTATTTATTATTGTGATCTATATGCATGACTAATAATGAGAATTTAATAAGCATTTGTAGAATAGATGAACAGATCAGTTTAGTGAAAAATAAAGAACTACATTATTATGATTCTAGTACATTTCCAAGGCTGTACTTGTAAGGATATATATTCAACAAATACTTGATCAAGGTCACTTATGGTGGAAATTTACCTTCGAAAGATAATTCTTATTTATCATAGAATTTATCATGTAGATGCTACACTTCATTAGAGTTTAAAACTAGAGGCTACCTGGCACCTCAATACATGGGCATCTATTTCAAACCTTTGGCTAGGTTGGCCAGGACATCTAGGTATGTTAAGTTTTCTGTATTGGGCTTCTACATATGTAAAGTTTTCTGTACTGACAGAAAACCTATTGTATTGACAGAATTAAGAACCTCACTGGGAACCTAGGTCCTCTACATGCCTATGGGAAACATCTTGACATTACAGATTTACTCCCACCTGGAACGATCATAGATAAGGAAATTTAAGATGTCTTTAAACCAACTTCTCCAATTTTAAACTGACCAAAAATACAATGAATATTCATGGATAATTATTGGTCAGTGGAAGGGGCAAGTTGGAAACAAAGAGGAAGGATCAGTAGTTGGAAAATCTGGTCTTGGTGATAGAAATGACGCCAGGAATTGCATGATAGACTGCGGCAAAACAAATGACGTATTCGTTGAAAATACCTTTTTTCCAACAACATGTGGTTCGAGGATATTGCATTGGTTATAACTCATAGCGACCCTGTGGACAACAAAACAATGTACTGCCCAGTCCTGTGCCATGCTCCCATTGTTCCAATGCCTGAGCCATTGCATTGGTTGTAACTCACAGCAACCCTGTGGACAACAAAACAATGCACTGCCCAGCCCTGCGCCACGCTCCCATTGTTCCGATGCCTGAGCCCATGGTTGCAGGCAGTGCGTCAGTCCATCTCATTGAGGGCCTTCCTCTTTTCCTCTGGCCCTCGACTTTATGAAGCTTGATGTCCTTCTCCAGGGACACGTCTCTCCTGACAACACATCCCAAATATGTTAGCAAAGTCCCCCATCCTTGCCACTAAGGAGCTCTCATACTTCTTCCAAGACAGATTTGTTTGCCCATTTAGCAGTCTGACACTGTCAATATTCTTTGCTGGCATCACAGGTCATACACATCCATTTTTGTTTTAGTCTGCCGTACTCATTGTCCAACCTTCACATGCATATGAGGCAACTGAATAGAACCATGACTTATGTCATGAACACCTTAGTCCTCAAAGTATCATCCTTGCTTTTCTACACTCTAAAGAGGTCTTGTGCAACAGATTTACCTAATGTAATGTATCTTTTGATCTCTTGACTGCTGCATCCATGAGCATTAATTGCGACCCCAAGCAAGACAAAATTCTTGATAACTTCAATCTTTTCTCCATTTATCATGATGGCACCTATTGGTCCAGTGTGAGGATTTTGATGTTTACATTGAGTTGTAATCCCTCTTCATCAGCAAGTGCTTCAAGTCCTCCTCACTTTCAGCAAGCAAGGTTTTGTCATCTGTATATCGTATATTGTTAATAAACCTTCTTCCAAACTTGCTGCTGAATTCTTCTTCATAAACTCCAGCTTTGCAGGCAAATGGCTCAGCATTCAGATTGACCAAGTGTGGTGAAAGGATACAACCTT